TTACGTTTTTTGCCATTGATGTGATCCAAGAAGTTAATAGAATCTTTCACCACGCAGTCGCATACGTTACAGTAATATCTGGCAGGAGAGAGAGAAAAAATTAACTACAAAGCATGAGACAAACCTCATCTCACAGAACAACTATTTGAGATAATCTACAGTGTGAAATCTGCATGTCACTTGGGATACGGGTCCTTTCTCCAGTGTGAGAGGCAAGCTACTTCCATTACAGAGAGCCCTAGTGAAAAGAAATGTGCAAGGGCATACCCCAGACTGACAGAGCTGCCCCAGTTAACACTGGAGGTACCAACCCTTATGCTGATGCCACTCTGACAGATGACAGAAACCAAATTATGAGCTGATCTGTAATATGTCAGCCACAGCATATTCCCCTTCCAGCCACAACAGGGTGGGATGGACTCTGTGACACCGCAGGACTTGGCTGCCCTCCTCCAAGGCAGGACTGGCCACGCAGCTCAGGCTTCTGGACTGCAGCCTGCTGAAGGCTCTGACCTGGCTGCAAGGTAAGTCCTCCCATCCCCATCACCTCACAGCAGCAACTCCCTGCTTTATACAGCAGTGCTTTCTGCCCATCTTAAGAGCTGTTGCAAAAACCCAGCCAGACCCTGCACTTCCATCCCTGGATGCTGTTCAGGGCTGCGCATCTCACTGGCACTACTGGCTGTTAGGCTACAACAGTGAGACATTAACAGGCTTACTCTTACGATGGCACAAACTTAATGTATTCTTTTCAATCTCTCGAGAGCTTAGGATGAGCTAAGGATCTTTCAGCCTTTGGCCAAACATGATCCACACAAGCAGTGGCCAAATACCATTCCTAAGGACAGGTATTTGGATGTTTCTCCCATTCCCAGTGCGCAGATATCCAAATTAGAAACTCAAATCAACAGCAAATAGGGTCTCACTGCAAGCAGGCCTCCTGGCTAACAAAACCCAAGTGGGCAGCAGAGATCTGCCTCAGTTGTTTCTACAGGTGGGCAAAGCAACACTGATGTCAAGTAACAGTGTCGGAAGGGCTCAGCCTGCTGCATCTCTTCCATGCGTTACCCCAGAAGAGCCAGTTTTGGTGCAATACTGTGCAGCACCACTGCACCAGGCTCAAAACACAGGAGGAAATCACCACCTGGTGCACCGTAAGGGCTCACTGCCGTATCACAGCCCCTGGTCTCACCAGCACAACTCTGAGACTCCAAACAAAAAGACCATGACCTACCCTCCCATCTCTGACTGAGGGGTAGTTTTGGTGATGACAATGGTTTTCCCCAGCTTTGATTCCAGGTCCACTTTGTAGTCTCGGTGCCGCAGAAGTTCCCTTTTGACAGGCTGAGCTGGTTTGCCTGGAACATACGCAAAAAAACGAAGTGTTTATCAGAAAAGCTCAAGCTCAACATGCTGGATTTCACATTGCCCGTGATGAAGAGGGGCCTGCCAGGAACCTGGGAACTACCTGATTCATGCAGAAATTGCACCTTTTTTTTAAAAATCAGTAAAGGATATAATTTCCTCCTCACTATTTGCAGTTCCTATTAGAACCAGGTAGATCTGTGAGGTATCTCCAGCTCTGACTTGGGTCATACTCTGAGATCTGCTTGTGTCCAAGGGCTGATTGTTCCTATCCCTCCCCAAAGAACAGGCAGGCAGAGGCAAAGGTTCTCAGTAATTACTTTTGTCAAAAAAATATATGCGGTGGGAAGCACAGGAAAAGGGATCGGAACAAGCCAGCCTTGAATTGCTGCTATTTCCCTGCGGGATTTCACTTCTAGCTGCTCTCTCCCTCTTAAACTCAAAGGGTTTGGGTGACTCACTGCCAAATGAGCAAAGCTTGCCTGGAGTCAGTACACTACGCACCATCTTTCTTTTCTCTCTCTTCTGTGAGCCGCTTCTCTGCAAGTTTCTCATATTCATCTTTGTCCCACTTTCGGCGGAAGTCCAAGTTCTTAGTCTGAGAAGGAAACAAAGTGTATTAACATTTATTATACTAGCTACATATTTGACTAGCTCTGAGGGGAGACTGGGGAAACAGGTGGAATCACTTGGCCTGTGAGGCTACAGTAGTAAATTAGGGGCACTACGTTATATCCCCATGCCCTCTGTTTTCGTATCTAGGAACTAAGGATATAGCTTAAGAGAATAACACTCAGCATGCCTACATCTACTTCTTCTAGAAGGATTTCAAAGCAGAAAGAAAAGTAATGAGTTTATCTTAAGAGCTCCTGAGATGATCACCCAGGCTTTTGCTTTGAAAAACAGACACAAACGGGATTTAAATCCATTGATCTAAGACCGCAGAAGTGCCACCTGACAAACACAGCACAGTCGTTAGCAGATTACACATACTTCTTCCAAAAGTCAATTAAACCCAAGTTGCAAAGATCAGATGAGGAAGCCGTGAAACACGACATGAACTATAAAGAGTTTGGTTAAAATGCAGGAGTACGGAAGGCTGCGTATACCTGCTCTCAAAGAGATCAGCAGTATGTCTATGCATTACAGGAATCAAGGTGCTGAGTTTGCTATGAAATCATAGGAACCAGTATGAGTTTTTCAAGTGAGACATGCGTACAAGCAAACCAGAAAAAGCTCTGAAATGCCCATCTGTCAAGGCAGGGCGTGGAGACACCAGGGAAGCACCTGTACAAAATGCAGGGTAAGATGTCCCACTCCCGCAGCTTCACAGGGAAGGGAAAAAACCCCTCTGAGGCAGACTGGCCCTTTGTCAGCTCCCCAGAGTGCTCTACACTGGCAGCGACAGGATAAGTTGCAGGAAGAGAAGCTGAATTCAGGTGAAGCCAGCACTGAAGAATACAAAACCTATTCTTTTTAGGGGGGATTTTTACCTAGTCACCAACGCTGAGGGTAGAACTGACTGGGCAAGAATCCCATTTCCATTCAAGTCTACTCTCACCAAACCAGGACAGCCTCTTCGCAGTGCCTGCCTCATGTGCAGTTAAGGCCCCTGCACCTGGTAACCATCACGGCTTACAACTCAGTCACTCTTGGTTTTTTTTCTAGGGAGGTAACTCTGGTTAGAAAGCTGCCTTTCACTCAGCATGGCAGTGAGAGGCTCTCGGTTTCATATTAAAAAAAGGATGTATGTATTTTAAAACACCTCCGGGAAAGATGGACCCCCCCATACCCCACCGCCTTCTCTGTTCAGCCAAATCAAGAATCCAATCACAATCCAAAGGAAATAAATCCCATTTGAAGCTATAGCAGCAGCACAGTCATTTAACGTTTTCTCCTCTGGCAATCCTTCAAATGGAACGAACAACTACTGATAGGAATGAAAATGCCTTAGGGAGGCGTAGAAAAATTCTCATTTATTCCCAGAGCTTCTTAAGCACTTTAAGCATGTCATAACAGGTTTTATTAACCACCCTGAGCAAAAGAAAAGAAAATATCACTGACTGTAAATTAACGTTTGGGGGTATTTTCCAGAATCTAGACTCTCCTGCATACAGCGCATTATCACAAATCATAGCTGGTGGGAGCCCAGGGAGGAGGCAATGTACTTGCTGCTTCATTCTCCTGTTGTAATAAAAGGGAAAGAGTCTTTCGCAGCTTTTACCAATCTCCCTCATCGATGCACAGGGCAAGAAATTAAACCCAACTGTGTAACAAGATCTTGGCTAGACATTTTCCAAAGGAACTTTTCTTAACTAGTCTTGTGGAAGCGAGGGTGGCTGCAAGCCCTAAAACTTTTATCTAAGAACTTCTTTGGGCAACAGAGAGTATTTCCCAAATAAGTAACAACAAATAAAAACCAAAAGTGTCCCACAGCCTCCTGTTCCCTCTGGAGGTGGACACTGAACGATCTGGCCAGTATCAGCACCAAAGCCTGTAAAATAACACAGGAGGCTCAAGTCTGGCTCAATCTAACAGGAACACAACTGCCAGCAGCTGAGAATAAACTACAGGCCCCAATTCAGTCCCGGCCAGACATCCGGCTCTTGACCTCTCAGCACCGCTTACATCTCAACAAGTGGCTTCAAGTGAAGGAAAGATCAGCCAAGAAAGCAGAAAAACACAGTCCCTGCAATGCTGACAGCTGTCTGGGGTATTACTGGTGGTGTTTAAACCAGCCTGGCTCTACAGTCAGGCTACACCAATGGCATCCACCTTACTCATCTGATCTCAGCATTCCCAACACCAAATCCTGTATGATCTACAAAGGCAGAAAGACCTCACTGCCACACTACACAAACCGAGCAACACCAATAAAATAATCAAGTTACACAGGAGCCATCAGAGATTCCAGAATGACAGTCATGGAAAGGGCAGTTTCACCATCCAGGGCAGATGGCAGCAAGCAGCAACTTCAGCAGGACAGCGTGAGAGACAGACAGCGAACAAGCAAACCTTCTCCAGAGGAGCTGAGAAGCAACAGGGCAGGACAAGAAGGGGAACGGAAGGAGGGAGCTGCCTGCGTGCACCATCGCCCAGCTCCAGGAGGCCCCTGGGATGGGCTGGTCTGCCCCGGGGGGCTGAAGGCGGGTGGGCATCCCCACCCCGGGGGGTTGGGGCAGGTTCGGATCTCTTTAGGCCGCCTGGCTGAAACAGGGGCTCGCACGGTGGTGGCCTGGCCCTAGGAGGGGAAGATCGGGGTGGGGTCCACCCCCCTTCTAGCCCGGAAGGCATCGGGGCCTCTCAGGAGGGCCCCAAATCTCCCACCGCCCACACACAGAGGGCACAGCGGTATGAAAAGCAGGGATGGGGCCTCCCCCGGGGGCCCCTGCTCACCCGGGCATCCCCGGCCCCGCCACGTCTCCCCCGGAGGGGTCCCTCACCCCGCGGCCTGGCAGCAGGCCCCGAGCGCGGCCCGGCAGAGCGGTGCGGCCCTTCTCACCGCCTGCTCCTCCAGAGCGGCCCCAGCCGCCGCGACCCTGCCCCCGGCACGGCCCAGGGCCTACCGAGGAAAAGAGAAAACAACGAGCTCGGCCCCGCCGCCGCCGCCAGCACCTACCCCGCTGCCCGACGCCATGTTGAGGGTGCGAGCGACAAGGGAACGGAAACTGTCGCGAGGTGGCGCGCGGGCCGTAAAGCGAGGCAGTCCGCCGGAGCACCAACGAGTGCCCGCCGCTGTGGCCTAGAGCGCCGCGAGGCAGCGGCGCCGGGTGGTCACGTGGAGTTCGGCCGCTTCCGGGTTCCCCGGGACCGGCCATGCTGCGGCTGGGTCAGCTCGCCGCCGCCGGGCGCCTGCTGCCCGCGGGTCCCCGCCTCGGGCCGCCGCGCCCCTCTGGGGGCCGGGTAAGCCTCTCCCGGTCCCGGCCGCCGGCGCCCGTCGGTGACCGCGGCTTCCTGGCCCGGCAGG